GTGGTAGTGAAGGACTTCTCGGACAGTGTAACCCCCCGGCTAAGAACGGTATGTGTTTCATGTCGCTGTTCAAACAGGGGGGGGGGCTCTGCCGCGTGAGGTCGCGGGGGGCCTCGGGGTCTTTGTGGCGTCGTCGTCGCCGAACTCTCCTGAATTCCTCAGCTTTTCCTTCTATTCGACCTCCTGCTGCTCCTCATTCGCTTCTTCTTCCGCCTGCAATGTCCAACGCCCCATCTCCCGATTGCACAGCGCAAGATAGGTCGAGTCCTGCCCTTGCGTCTTGGGGATCAAGGTCCTCTGGGACACCCCAGCGTGCGGACAAAACAGTTCAACGCAACAGGGAGCTAGGATGCAATTCCTGGGAGGTGAAACTCAGCATCGGCGCTGGCATATCCGTGGCAGGCAACATGCCCAGCCTCATCTAGTTTAAGCATTCCGCCTCTTGTGGTTTAGTTGTGTTCAACCTTGGGCAAGCTTGGACAAATTCTTTACGCTTCGCGTATCCCCACCAGCCCATCTCAAAACAGCAACTCTTGCGAAGCATGCCGACAGTCGTGTTTTTCAGGCGTGTTTCCGCCTGCCCCCGCATATCTCCCCTGTTCCTCCTTCCTCCCGCCTCCTTGTACATCCTCCCCGTGGTGGGAGCGGGAGAAAGACGAGGCGGCGGAGGAGGGAAAAAAAACGCTCCTCGTGGTTTGAGTCGTTTGGGGTTGCTTGTCCTGGTGTGAGTCGTTCGGGCCCTTTTTCCTGGTGTGAGTCGTCCGGGCTCTTCGTGATGTGAGTCGTTCGGGCTCGTCGTCCTGGTGTGAGTCGTTCGGGCTTTTCGTGGTGTGAGTTGTTCGGGCCCCTCGTCCTCGTGTGAGTCGTTCGGGCCCCTCCTCCTGGTGTGACTCGTTCGGGCTCCTCGTGGTGTGAGTCGTTCGGGGCCCTCGTCGTGGTGTGAGTCGTTCGGGCTCCTCGTGGTGTGAGTCGTTCGGGCGCCTCGTCCTGGTGTGAGTCGTTCGGGCCCCTCCTTCTGGTGTGAGTCGTTCGGGCTCTTCGTGGTGTGAGTCGTTCGGGCCCCTCGTCCTGGTGTGAGTCGTTCGGGCTCCTCGTGGCGTGAGGCGTTCGGGCACCTCGTCCTGGTGCAAGTCGTTCGGGCCCCTCGTAGTAGGAGTAGTAGTAGTAGTAGTAGTAGTAGTAGTAGTAGTAGTAGTAGTAGTAGTAGTAGTAGTAGTAGTAGTAGTAGTAGTAGTAGTAGTAGTAGTAGTAGTAGTAGTAGTAGTAGTAGTAGTAGTAGTAGTAGTAGTAGTAGTAGTAGTAGTAGTAGTAGTAGTAGTAGTAGTAGTAGTAGTAGTCTGTATGTGTTTAGTAGTAGTAGTAGTAGTAGTAGTAGTAGTAGTAGTAGTAGTAGTAGTAGTAGTAGTAGTAGTAGTAGTAGTAGTAGTAGTAGTAGTAGTAGTAGTAGTAGTAGTAGTAGTAGTAGTCGTAGTAGTAGTAGTAGTAGTAGTAGTAGTAGTAGTAGTAGTAGTAGTAGTAGTAGTAGTAGTAGTAGTAGTAGTAGTAGTAGTAGTAGTAGTAGTAGTAGTAGTAGTAGTAGTAGTAGTAGTAGTAGTAGTAGTAGTAGTAGTAGTAGTAGTAGTAGTAGTAGTACAAGTAGTCGTATCCAAGGCAGTTTGGAGGCCTCTTGGAGATCGTAGAGGGGCCTCTTGGGCTCTCTTTCGGGCCTCTTGGGAGCGTCCGGGGGCCCTCTTGGGCGCCTCTTGGAGCGTCTTGGGGGCCTGTTGGGGCCATCTTTGGGGCGATCGATCGCAGATGGGGCGAGCATTTTTGTCAGTACCCCCGTCGGGGCCACGATCCTCGTGAGGTGTGTCGAATTTTAGCGTTCCCTCCCAGGGATAGAAAAAGGACCCTCTGACCACCCGCGAAACCCCCTCTCCAGGTCCAGGGGGAGGGGGTAGGGGGAAGGGTAAACCCTTCCCCGAAGGGGAAGAAGGGGGGGTGAGAACAGAGAGAGCTCGCTAAACCACTCACGCCCAAAGGGCTGGTGGGATTAGTAGTGGTAGTAGTGGTAGTAGTAGTAGTAGTAGTAGCAGTAGTAGCAGTAGTAGTAGTAGTAGTAGTAGTCGTCGTCGTCGTCGTCGTCGTCGTCGTCGTCGTCGTCGTCGTC